AGTGTATGCAGCACAGTGTAAGGGGACCACGGACGGGAAGCCGGGCTTGTATTTGAGTAATGGATCCATGGAGAGTCTGGCAGGGAAAAGAACACTGAGCCGCTAGAGAACTGGAACCGAGGAGCACACAAACCGTGGGCTGTAGCCCAAAGCTAAGACCAGGAGCCTTGCATGCAGGCTGGCTGGGCCTCACAGACAGTGCGCTGTTTTCCACCTCTCTGCCTCATCTGGGTAGAGCCATGGACTATGGCTACCACTGAACATGAGGTGAGGTCATGTTTGGTTAGAGTCAATTCCTCAAATCCCCCAGCCCTCAGCCCTCCACGATCTCTTTGGAAGTCACCCATTAAAGGTCCCCTGGGAAGAAGGCAACTGGGTTTTGATTTAGTATCCCAGCACAGCCGGGCCTGTTTTTTCCTGACCTGAGCTCTCTGGATTTGAACTCTGGTTCTACCTCTTGGATTCTTGTCAGATTTGACTCTTGTGGACTGTTGTGACCTTACATTAACTGCTTAACTTCTCTGTGCCTCAATTTCCAAATCAGTAAACAAGGCATAGAAATAGCTACATCTATAGCACGTAGTTTCTTGGGGATAAAAATCACCTACAAGAATTGAATGAATGAAGATCTAGGAATGTCAGAAACTAACGGAGAGGAGGGTATCCAGACTCAAGGGTGGTTCATGGTAGAGACTAGCAAGGCATGGCCCCATGGCCATGTCCATCTAGCTGCCTCCTTCAACTCAGCCTGCCAGATGACAGCAGGCTTGTGTGTTGTTGTTTTAAAGAACAATATTATTTTACTTCAATAAAAACCAAATCGTATTTTGTGTTCCAGCAGCACATCCTTGAGCCAAAGAAATGAAGACATGGGTGAAACACAACTTGTGTCTTCACCTTCAGTTTGGCTTGGTTGGCTTACATGTTTTAGAGGGCTAAAACACACCACGTGAGAATTATGTGGGGTTCAGAATTCGCCACAAATATTGTAGCATTGGCTCTCCACCACGCTCATTTGCTTTGATATCATTACGACTCTTTCAGTCTGAGTCACCACGGCAGAGACCAGATGGTCTGCATGACCCAACATATTGTTAACTGGCTCTTTAAAAAGAACATTTAGTGAATTTCACAGTGTCAAATGCACCAAGGTCAAGAAAAAATAACTAAAAGTCATCTGGGACTGACAGCAGCTTTCAGGAACCTTGATCCGGGCTCCTTTAGGGGGCAGAAGTAGATTTTGGTGCCTGGAATATCAAAGTTTGGTTCCTGACTGGAGCCTGTCAGCCGAGTGGTGCTGGCAAGCGCTCACCTCCAGTGTCCCCAGCTGTAAGGACAGGATGAGCAGAGCTGCTCTCCTGAGCTATGGTAAGGATCAGGAATAACATATTGTAAACCACAGGACATGGCACCTGCTTCACAGTGTGGCCCAGACAGCAAGGCCAAGTGCAGTGTTTAATGTGGTGTTGCCAGGTTTCTACTCCCCCCCCCTGGAGCCAGTGCCTTGTCACCCTGAAGGTCTCACTTTCATCTCCGGCACTCTGACACCTTGTCCTGTGTGTCGTCGCCTTCACACAATCCCCCCTCTTTGCTGAGGTCATCCGTCTAGTTGAGCACTCTGTTTAATGTTATGCTCAGCCCACTCCTTAGACCTCCGTTTTCCCTGCTGTTTTCCCTTTGCTTATGACATCTGAGAAACCTAGAGAATTTACTGACATGTTATGCTTAACTGTGCACTGTGTGTCATCCTTGATAGGATGCAAGTTCCTTGAGCAAACATCCTCATCTGGTCAATGAATATACATTCCAGGCACCTAAACAGAACCTGGGATGTAGAACTCAGGATTTGTCCAATGATTACATGGAAAAGACTAGTGGAGATTGCAGTTTAAATTTTTTTTTGACTGAGTATGCTCTTTCAATATGAGTATTTGTCCTTTTCATGTCTATAAAATTCTCAACTATTATTTGTTAAAACACAGCCTCTGCTCCAGCTTCCTCCTTTTATTCTGGAAAGTCCATCATATACATGTTGCTTCATTCTGCCCTCGGTGTCCGCTGAGTTCTTCGGCATACTAGACAGCCTATCAGCTTTCTGCTTTATTTTAAGGGAATTTCATCTGCCCATCATTCTTTTTTTGAGATGTGTTCAGCTAACTTTGCAAACTGTTAATGGAATTTTTATTTCAATAGCAATTTTATTTTGAGCCAAATGTCTTAGTTACTTTTCCTGTTGCTACAACAATATCTGGCAAAAGCAACTTAATGAAGGAAGGAAGGAAGGAAGGAAGGCAGGGTTTACCTTGGCTCACAGCTCAAGAGTGCTGTCCATCAGAGAGAACAGCCTAGGTGACAGGCGTGGATCTCAGTGCATCTTCTGTCAAGCGTGTGCCAGCTCGCTTCCTCCCTTCATGCGGTCTAGGACCCAAGGTCCCGGAATGCTGTCAACCTTCTTCATGGTGGGCCTTCCCTTCTCACTTAAACTGATCAAGAGTAGCCCTCACAGGCACACCCAGGGTCTAGCTTAGTCTCTCATAGGTGTGCCTGGAGTTCTGGCTCTTGAGTAATTCTGGATCTTGTTGCGTTGATAACCGACTGTCACACTTATATTGATTTTTCCCTCTCCCCATTCTTTCTTGTAGTTGCTTCACGGTTCCTACTCTTCCTCTGTTTCTCTGAATAACTGGAATATTCCACCTAGACTTCTCTCAGTGTTTGCCTTTCTCACTGGCCCCTGGGGATGTTCGAAACTTCCCACTTGTTGCTGGCTTCCTTGCTTTGGCTCATTTTTTTGTGCCGTCTATGATTGTGGATGCACACTGTGAGCAGTGGCATCTGCCTTAGCTGAGGCCCTAAGGGGTCAGCAACTGAGAAGGCTCCAACCCTGACCCCTGGCTTGTCTTCCCAGGGTAGGATGACAGACGATGCACTGTGGGTCGTAAAAAATGTGTGCTACGATTAGACATGTATCTAACACCCCCACAAGGCCCAGGGAACATCATGGAAGACAGGGCAGAAGGAATGCAAGGTTAAGGAGGCGGCAGTGGTGGTGAAGAACACCATCTCCCACGCGTGACACGGTCACTGCACTCCTGCACTCAGTAGCCATGATTGCTTGTAAAAGATTGGGCTGCTCGACAGTCTGTCCTGGTAGGAGAGAGTTCATAAGAGAGTTCATCCCTTCCTGAGGATGTGCAGATAGCTAATGGTTGCGGGAGGTGAGACACTTTCTCCAATGTTGTAGCCACTGGTAAGAGTAACTAGTCTTGCAAATAACCTCCCACCCATGCCCTGTAACCAATCATAATGAAACCCACTGGGTCACCAAAGTGAAAAAACAAAATACCAAAGCAAAAGAGAGACCAATTTGTTGGGGGGTCAATGCATGGAGGAGGAGGCCGTGAGAGGGTCATGGGTGGAGATGAGCAAAATTCATCATTGTACATGTGTGAAAACAACATATTTAATATTTATAACTAACATACGCTAATACAATACTATAAGCAAGAAAAAACATCCACATCTCCATTGTGAAACTATTTGTTGTGACCTTGAGCAAATGACTCTTTCTATATTCCTTTTCTTATCTGTGAGGTAGAAATCATAATTCTACTTGTGGAGATGCTGTGGAGAGTTAGCCCCATAGTCAACACAGGACCAATAGCTTAGCTTTCCAAGCAGTGAATGCTTAGCAGCGATTACCAGGGACTCTAAATACAGGGTAACCATTATATGTTTATCTACTTGTCAAGATCTTCATGTTTTGTGATGGAAGGAACTTAATTTATGGATGCACACATGTATACACATACTTATGTGCATGCATGCTCACAGCACACACACACACACACACACACATACACACCCATACACACACACACACACACCACACACACACACACACACAGTCATCATATCTGGAAACAGGAGCAGAAGCCATCACAAGAACACGCCTGGCTCTCCACCACTTCTGAGAAGCAATGACAAGAGTGGGCACAGAATCTAAGACACTATCTCAAAAAAAAAAAAAAATCCCTGAAGCCTAATTAGGGAGTTAAGAGCATTTGCCAACTATTTTAGATCATTAAAATATCACAGTAGAGAAAGTTCTTGCTGAGAGGAAAATGACCTAGAAAAATTTCTTCAGTTCTATTCAAAGGGAACACACATCCAGCTCCTCGGCCATGTTTTCCTTGGGCGTCATTCCCTGCAATTGTTAGACAGAGAGTACCAGATCTCTGAGCCCACGGCTGATGCGCAGCCACTGGGAAGGCACAGGCACAGTGAATTCGTTACTTTTCTCATTGCTCTGAGAAGTAACTAAGTGGAGGAGAGGTTTATTGTGACCCAGGGTTTGAGATTGTACTGTCTGTCACAGAGGGGAGACACGGCAGAGGGAAGGATCTCAGGATGTGGTGACAGTGGCGTGGGGATGCTCCCTTGAGTCCTGGTGGGTTACTTAAGCAGACAGAGGG